ATGGATGGATGGATGGATGGATGGATGGATGGATGGATGGATGGGTGTTAAAGCCTGTAGGATGTAACCCTCACCCCCCATTAAATAAGATTTGCCAACTTTTGTTTCAAGATTAAACTGTTAAGTTTACAAGTTTGCCCTGAAAACCTGTTGTTTAGGATAAAAAAAAATTAAAGTGATATGGTATTTTGCAACACAGCTGAAACATTTTTATTATTTAAGAGCAGATTAAATCATGATCAATCGATTCAGAACCTTGTGAATAGAAATCAAATTGATTTAGAGAATTGGCCACGATACCCAGCCCTACTGTCAAATGCCTCACGGGTGTGCTTTCTGTTCATATAAAGTATATTTCATTTTAAAAACAGATATTAAAAAACAAAAAAAGCGGACGGTTGTTTTAGGTTAACTTTATACTCCAAAAACAGAAGAACGTCTTTTTATTAATAAAACCAAAAATTTAACATTGTTGTCTTGGGAACCCAATGCTGTCCTGTGGAACCTGCAGTTTCAAGTTCWTCAAAGACCTCATCAAGAGAGACCAGGAAACATTTTGAATCATCAGTGATAAACTATCAGCTGACACTTGTTAAAGAAATATGAAACTAGTTATCTAGCGTTTATTTATTGCAGTTGCAATGTTTTCTAAATTAAAGTGTGTTTAATAATATCATTACAAGACCTTTTTGYTGGAGCTAGAAAAAAGTGTTTTTAAAGAAATTAGCTAGACCAGTTTAATTATACAAAAATACGGTCTGCAATTAATTAGAAATGCAAAAGTAGTTAGATAGTGTTTATTATTTACAGTAGCTGTCTGTTATTTAAAAGTTATTTAACTAGCTCCACATAAAATGTRCTAATATCTACAGTGTTAAATGTTTGGTTAAAGAAACATAAAACGACGGACTGGGTGCATGGGAGTCAGCCCAACTAGTCTACATGTGTTTTGTGGACTTGGAGAATGCGTTCGACTCTGTCCCTCGTGGACTCCTGTGGGGGATACTCCGGGAGTATGGGGTACCAGGCCCATTGATATGGGCTGTTAGGTCCCTGTACGACCGGTGCCAGAGCTTGGTCCGCATTGCCGGTAGTAAGTCGGACTTTTTTCCAGTGAGAGTTGGACTCCGCCAAGGTTGCCCTTTGTCACCGATTCTGTTCATAACTTTTATAGACAGAATTTCTAGGTGCAGCCYAGGTGTTGAGGGGATTCTTTTTGGTGACCTTAGGATCACATCTRTGCTTTTGTAGATGATGTGGTCCTYTTGGCTTCATCAGATCYTGATCTCCAGCTGTCACTGAAGTGGTTTACAGCCGAGTGTGAAGCGGCCGGGATGAGGATCAGTGCCTCCAAATCCGAGATCATGGTCTTGAGCCAGAAAAGGGTAGAGTGCCTCCACCGGGTCAGGGAGAAGGTCCTGCCCCAAGTGGAGAAGTTTAAGTATCTTGGGGTCTTGTTCATGAATGAGGGAAAAATGGAGCGGGAGATCATCAGGAGGATTGGTGATGCATCTGCAGTGATGTGGGCGCTGTACCGGTCTGTCGTAGTGAAGCAAAAGCTGAGCCAGAAGGCGAAGCTCTCAATTCACCAGTTGGTCTACGTTCTTACCCTCATCTATGGTCACGAACTTTGGGTACTACCTGAAAGTACGAGATTGCGGATACAAGCAGCCAAAATGAGTTTCCTCCGCAGGGTGTCTGGGC